CAGATAGAGGTACAGATCTCCACTTGTCCTTTTAGAAGTGCCTTGCCCATAGTGTAACACATTCTCACTTCCTTATCGGAGCTTCAGATCAGTCTGTAGCCCCAAATCCTCTCTCCTGGGTGTGCCAGAACTCTCCAAGGTCAGTGGGATAGCTAGTTAAAGTTTATTAATAAAAAGACCTGCCTCCTTCAATTTTCCTATTAAAGTTATAGGATTAGAAACTTCTGGTGCAAGGGTTTGAAGGGGGGGGTGTGTGCTTCTGAGAGTTTCCTTGAAACTTCAGGGCTGTGGGACAGCCTAGTGGACTAGTTAGTGTGCTTTTTCATTTGAGTGAAGGAGCTGAAGAGGGATGGGTGAGGTATTAGTCCTAGTGTCTGGAGGCTAAATTCTCAAAACACCTGCCCACCTAGCACTGGGATGTATTCCTTCTGTCTTCCTCCCCCACTTATGGTGTTTAAATGAGCAAAATGTCAATATTGACTCTGTTGTGACTAGATCATGTCAGGTTCGGCATTTCCTACCCCTTTTGCAACTTGCATGTAGTAGGCTGACTAGCATAAACATACTGGTGGGTGAACTATCTAACAGCCAAGTGGTATTGGGAATTAATCTTGATCAGTGCTCTGTAGCATCTGCATCTTGTTCTAGATACCTTCTTCAAGGGGAGATGAGTAAATCTGGGGGTTTGACATTCTTCAGAACTGTTAGAGAATACCTGTGTGCGGGTTTCCAGTCTTGCGTGATAGTGTTCAGTAGATGAAAATTGATTGATGGCTTCTGGGTTGCTGGAATCATTTGAAATTGTTTGTGTCCTACCCTTTCTAAACAGCAATCTGCGATGCAAAATAGCATCATGTCTTCTGTTTACTTACACAAGCAGCATGTAATCAGAGTGATAGTCATGTTTCTCTTCAAAATTTCTGGGTGATAGAACAAAGAGTGAGGATTTGAGGCTGCTGCGAGTACCTTTTTACAGTAAACTTTGCAGCTGACATCAGTGATTAAAGCAGATTCCAGCAGTTCCTTGTTGGAGGCTGATGCCTACCTAGTCTTGTCTGTTTTGGCATAAAACCTTCCTGGCACTTAAAAAATCCCCACATATAAACGAAAGTATCTGAGGCCCACAGGCCCCTTGATCTGCATAGCTTTGGCCAGGTCTGTGTGCAGCTTGACTTCTGGTCTTCTAAACTTGCTGCATATTGCAGGGAAAACACATGTAACAGGAGGAGGATACTCTCTGCTCAAAAATTTCAGGGTTGTTTTGGAGATGCCTTTTTTGCAATTAAACTTTGCTTATCTATTCGTTATCTCTTTGGCAAGAGGAGGTTGCCATATCCTCTTCCTGATGGGGAGGATTTGAAAGCCTTGCTCTTACTGACAGTACCTACCTGCCTTGCTGCACATATTCCTCCAGTGTGTGCTCTCTTACGGGTGCCAAGTATTACTTGCTTACATAAATGGTGAGAAATAGTTGAATGATAAATCTGAATTCACACTATCTCCAAGTAGTGTCGAGATGGCTGCACTGCATAGCTCAGCCTGTTTTATGAAGGCTCCCTAAACTGGAGGAGCTGATGAGTTAAGTCTTCAGGTTTGAAGAGCAGAATTCAGTGGCTTCAGAAATGGTTGTGTGGCTCTTCAGGAGCAAATACCAAAATTAACCTGTGTGGCTTGTTGGACACACTGCTACAGTTGAACCTGTTAATGCAAATATTCTGTCAGTGTAGTTCAGTATAGCAATAGTTTTCTGCAAATTTTTGTAGCTTGCTTTCATTTTTACTTGATTTAAACTGTTCCTGTACCCTGAGAGCTGTCTCCGGCATCACACGGTGTGTAACAGCCTGCACGTGTGGTTCTCAAGGCACTGCTGTATTTTAGAAGGTCCTGAAGCAACTGTACTTAGAAAGGCACTATGTCATTGGAATATGGAATTATTTTAATTTTTTAAAACTGAAATAGCGAGATTCTATTTAAATTATCTCTGATGCAGGCCTAAGTGTCAGTCTTGCTTATCTGGCAAATTTGGGTTTTGTGACACAACACTCATTTCTAAGGTCAGAGACAGAGCTACCTCAGTCAAGGCTGTTTCCAGCCGTGCTGCAGCCTGACTGGCACTGGCCTTGGTTTCGGTGAGAGTGAGGTGGGTGGCTTAAGTCACCATACGATCGATCCTCTGGTTGTCACTTGCTTTGGAAACACTGAAGCCCAGAGTGAGCAAAGGTCTTAATAGCAAAGATGTCAAAACCAGCATTCAAGGCTCCTGGGTTCTTGTTGCTTTAACAGTAGCACTGTGTATAAACCATTATCATTCTTGTTTGCTTCTGAACAGTGAAAGATTTAATAGCAGGGCAGATCTGGTTAGGAGCTGCTCCTAGTGCTAAGACTGACAGAGGAAGATAAGTTACTTGATGTTTGGGGGCTGGGGGACCTGAATTCCCCTTGGAAGCAAGGGGTGGCTCTTAAATGAAGCTTCCAGACTTGTAGCTGAAGCCTTACCTACACCGGGAAGGAATTAATTTTTTTCCACTCATTTAGTGAAGACAATATAGTGGTAATATTCATGTGTTACCATTCTTAAGGGGATTATAACATGCTGCAAGCTCTAATACTTTCAAGTGTATTGATGCTTACTGTAAGTAGTAATTTAACTTCAGTATTGCTGAAAATTCTGGTTTTGCAGAGAACTGAACAACCAAAACTGCCTGCTGAAGTAGGAAGGAGCTGTTTGAAGGCTCAGGCAGTTGTGGCTTTGGCTTATGTATAATCCTGGGGAAGGAGGAATATGTTGAACAGTGGACCAGGTCTCTGAGCTGTTGCACCTTACCTTGCTCTCCAGATTACATTGAGTTTCTCTGCTGTGCTCAGGGAACTAAATTATTGGCAGGATAAGATGTTTTAAATGCTTCTTGCTACAGTTTCTGTCCAGTAGCCCTTTGGTTCCTGGGTGATGGTGGTGGTTGAGAGGCAGCAGAGCTGGGTGGCTGGTCCATACAGTCCTGCTTCAGTCATAACTAGGCTTAAAGCACGTCTCGTGTGATAAACCACAGCTGTGCATCCTCAGCCACTGGCTTTCCCCTGTGGCTGTAGTGGAGTTTCTGCAAGTGGAGCCACAGGACACCTGGAACTGGTGGGTTTTTTGAAGCACCCAGGGAGGCAGTGCTCAGGACTGACTCCAAGGTGTGAGGAGGGACTTTGGGGTCCCCTTATGAGCAGGCCCAATCTTAGATACATGTATTTTGTCTGTGATCACCAGTGTAATGGTGTGAGCAGAAATAATGCTTCTGGTCAGTAATAATGCTTCAGCTATCTTGAAGCTGTTAAGATGTGTGGGTTGTGATGTAATGTAACTTATCTCCCCTGAACAGTTTGGGTTAATAACTGTTGTTCTGCTAAAACTGTCTTGCCTTGTATTTGTACGTGACTTGACAGGCGTAGTAGTAAGTTCTGTGACTGTAAACTGCTAGATATACTTTGACTTTGATTTTTGTTTTTAAATACCTTGAGTGCTTTTAGCTTTACACTGTGGGGGAAGGTTGCATTTTTAAGGGTCAGCTTATTAGTTGCTACATTCGCCACTCCTGACTTCTCTGTAGCCCTGAGAGAAGTGCTGCGGAAACTGATGAAGGTTTCAGTTGAGTGTGTTCTTGCAGCCTGGGACCAACCAAGGGGACAGTCACTTGGGTGCTTGAGCAGAGGAGTGGTGAAAAGCTAAGCAGCTGGGGATCTGCTTGGCTGTTAGCAGCTGGGGATGGATGCAGTTTCCTGGCTGGATTCCTGCCAGCCAGGGTCAATGGTGATGTTGGGAGAATAATAGGTGGGGACAGTTGACTTCAGGCATTTGCATACACCTTATCTTCTCAGTTTGGTTAGGTGGGCATAGAAATATGTCTGTTGTAAACTCTTGTGGTTAAATGAGAACAGAACTTAATCCTGGATGCTACAGGGCTGAAGAGTTGTAAACCTAGAATAGGTAAGTCCAGTACTTACAAAGCAAAATAACTTGTGTAAGTGGTGGTTTGTTGCTTTTTTTCCTCTGCTACTTGATCTCCAGTGTTAAACTGCCCATTAGTCTTACAGCTAACACGAAATCTGATGTTTTGCTAACAACAAAATCTTTGCTACTCTTTGAAGTGTAAGACTGGGTTGGTTATGGATGATACTGTGCTTGTTCCCTCAATGTTGGGAGGACTCAACCTTAAGCAAAAAAAGGTGTCCTCTCTTCCAGTGTGACTTAAGACTTATCAACATCACACCTGACATCCTCCAGAGAATGAATGTATCCTCATCTGGCAATGGCTCTAGCTTTATTTTAATTCCTGAAAGGCAAGTGCAGTGTGTGGTCACTGTCTGCTGTTAATAGTCTTCCATGGAAGATGGATGTTAATTTTGCTGTAGCAGGCCACTAAACTTAGTGTTTGTAGTTCATATATTTAAATTGCATACTGTGCTGCTGGATTCTGCTGGAACTTAAATTTGGGTAACTTAAACTGAGGAAAAAATTGGCTGCTTTTGGCCAGCTACATGGTATTTGTGACGCTGGGCAGTGGAATCAAGCCTTTGACTTTAAAGATGATATGAAGATAATGGCTCTGGTGGACAGCAGGCTATTGCTATCATCTGCGTGTTATTTGAGTCATTCAACCAATGAGGCTTGCACTTAATTGCAAAGCATGATTTTAATCTTTGCTAGACCACAAAGGGCTGAAGTAGGGCTGTGTTAGTCTTGGTGATAGTCACGCTAATACCCCCAGAGTAACTTCCTAGGAGAGTGCAGTTCTGCACAAAAATGCTGTGTTCAGAGCATCCACCTCACACTTCCCTTACCAAGTAAATTAAATAAACTGTGAGAGTGTCTAAACTGGATAGAGAAGCTTGGAGCTGTAGGTGACTTCCCTAGTAATTAATTTACCCTTCTCAAATATCATAATATATTAGCTATAAGGGACTTGATTCTTGATAGTGTTTTTCATTAAGTGACTCTGTTTTTTTTCCTTCTGCAGTGACTATTTATTCAAGCTACTTCTGATTGGAGACTCCGGTGTTGGGAAATCTTGCCTTCTACTTAGGTTTGCAGTAAGTGATCATGCTTGAAAACTTTATATAAAAAAAGCTACGGGGTACTTAGCAAGAACTTTCTGCTACAAGACCTACTTGAAAGGACTGATGTCTGTCAGGTCCGGTATACCAAGGAATATGTAAATAATTGCAAAACTCTCCTGTCTTCTGCATTTGTTTCTAGCTGATTTATTTGTTGGAGTAATATGGAAAGAAATAATATCAAGAATACGTCCAGTTAAGTTTAATTCTCATTTTCCTGTTACTTGAGAACAAGATACCTTAATTTAACTTGCATCATTACACTAGTGATAGAACAGTGAAGATGGAAGAACATACTTGAATTCTGGGGTGTGTGCCTTCAGGCATGAAGAATACAAATGTGTCAGGGCAAGACCTTGATCAGTTACTACTTGATCTGAATATTTTCAGCCAGATGAAGTTTGATATCTTCATTGAAAAGGCCTGCCAATTGCTTAGCCAGAGGGAGAAGTAATTTAAATAATGCTCTAGGAATAATAAGGCCTTATGCTTCCTTTAGTGAATGAGAGTATAATGTTAAAATTGGTGGTGGGCTGCTGTGGCTAGAATTTGATGCAAGAAGCTCTAGTTTTCCTGTCAACAGGAAAAGTTAAAATGGGTTTGACAGCTCTGAGTAGGAAGAGCTGGAGTCCAATGAACTCTGTATTTACATCTATGCCAAAGTGCAGCTTTATGTTGCCATGGGAGGAGGAGAAGGGAGAATATGGGGCATTAGTTTAGAAAGTAGAGTTTGATACTACTGCAAGATGATGGCAGCCTAAAGAATTGCTCTAGGCACCTCTGGCAAGAGCCTGTTGTTTCATCTTATTAATATGAAATGGTGGTCTGGTGTGTACGAATAGCATCACCTAAGTTACAGCGATTACAACCACTGTTTGTGCAATATTAAGACAGGGAGACACTAAAACCAGTCTGCACTCTAGAAAGATGTGACCTGCTTTGCTCACGGAACTGGAGGCAGTGGGTTGGAAGTGACACCAAGGCTGGAGCAGCACTCCCAGATCAGTCTAGCCTGCTTTTCTTGCAGATAGTTTTGAATTTATTTTGGCTTCCTGTGAATAATCCAACTTTTCTTTTTTGATAGATAACTGAGCGCAAACTTAAGCTATCTGGCATTTCTTCAACTAAGTAGCTTTTTCCTTTAGAAAGTCAGATTTCTAAGCTGTTTTATCCTGACACAAGGAATTACTGCAGCATTCACTTACCTGTGTTCTTCCTGCTGTAGGTTAAACAGCATCAGGCTTTTCACACATACCCTTTTGAGTACTGAAATGTTAAGGAAATAAATGTCATGTTGTTCTAAAAGGCTTAATGCTTTATTCTCACTCGCATGTGTTCCCTCAGGCAGATGTATTACCTAAGGTGTCTTCCATTCACAACCCAAAGAAATCCTTGCTTTTGTGATGGCTGTTGGTTGCATAAAGCCTTTTGTGGTATATTTTACATTAAGTTCTATCCTACTGGTACTTTGGGAATAGAAACTTCCTTCATGCCAGCAAGCTAACAAGCGCTGGAAGGACGCAAAGACTGATCCAGCGCTTCTGTGGGCCTGCTGGAGACTATGCAGCCAGGTCCCTGTAAGCTGCTAAACCAGTGCTGTGTTTTCCTTCCTGTATTTATACAGACTGCAGAGCAGGGGACTTAACACAAGTACCAAGCTGTAACTCTAAACTGCCTTAGCAACCAGCTGTGGCAGCAGCAGATATGAAATTCAGATGTGGAGTGAGACTGAGGCAAAGCCTCTGACTTCTTGTAGGTAGCTGCTATGTAATACAGATGAAAAACCATCAAAGGAAAAGAAAAATCTGAGGCATTTTAGTAACCATAATGGTTATTCTAAGTAGCTCTTCAGTCTGCCAACATGAGCAAAGACTGGCTTTTAAACTACAGTTCAAAAGGACTTAACACTAGAGGATTTCCAGAAAAGGGGCTCTTGGACTAGTTTTTGGAATGTGAATCTTGTTGTTTGAGGTGCTTTTAAAAAACTCTGCAGAATTTTTGAAAAGGAAGTAACTTGGTGAAAACACCTGGCTACCTGCTGGCCTTTGCCATGAATGATCAGACTGTTTTTGCTAGGGAGTTAAGTAGCTCGTCTGCCTGGTGCCTGCCTATTGCATAATAAAGTAGGTGACTGAAGAAGAGGTGCAGCTGGCTTGACTTGTGTTCACTCTTTCTCCTAGGATGACACGTACACAGAAAGTTACATCAGCACGATTGGTGTGGACTTCAAAATCAGAACTATAGAACTAGATGGGAAAACAATCAAGCTTCAGATAGTAAGTAGTATTTCTCAACTCCTGGGTACTTTAATCTGTTGAAGCACAGAATTACTAACTATTGGTAGTTATCTTTGTACTTTAAAACAGAAGTGATATCTTCCCTGTCACAAGAGGCTAGGCAGTTTTTACAAGACTACAAGGCTGCCCATGACCTGTCCTTAAAGAAGGATGGGTATCAAGGCTGTCTGTCTGAAAGAGGAAATGACCTGTTACAAATTTGTTTTCCTGGGAAGAAAAGAAACCTTAAGTATTTAAAAGGCACTTGTATCAAAACTGGTGTAGTTCTGCAGTATTTAGCCAGGATTTGTGTGAGCGCAAGGGTATCATGCTGTTGTCTAAGATGCCTGAACTCTATAGCAGCTGTTGATAGCAGGCTGTGCTGTCTAGTGCTGGGAACTCTGCTTTTTGTTGACCTGAATGGAAAAACTGACACAGGCCTGTAACTGTCCTGTCTGCCTTAGCACTGGGCAGTGTTTTCTGGTTACACTTTTGGCCTTTCACTTGGAATAAGCAGGGGAAGAGACTTGGCAGGTCTTTCCTCTAATCTTGAAGCACTCTAAAAGGGTGACTGGTGTGATGAAATCTAATATCTATGCAAGGTCACACAATCCCTGTCAGCCACTGCTTCCAGCTCAAGCCAAGGCCTTCAGGACTTGAAGGCAATGACTCAGGGATTCCAGGCTGTGTTGTGGAGCTGGAGCCCAGTTTACAGCCAGAAGCCTAAGCCTGAGTCTGAGCCTTCAGACTCTAATGTAGCTGTCCTGAGTCCAGAGCAGCCTACTAGGAATGCTGACACTACTGAAATCTGTGAGTGACTATTTTTAATATGCAGCCAGCCCAATTCTTGACATGGCTCTGGGGGGAGAAGTGCTCGGGTGAGTGCTGTTCCTGTCCTGGTGGGGGGAGAGGTCAAGCACCTGATGTCCCTCCTTGACTCTCCCAGCAGGAGAAAGGAACCAGGCTTGGTCTGAGTTGTTGCACTTCATCCTCCAAAGAGGGTGTTGCCTTTAAATACCTTTGCAACTGCTACACCAAGGAAGTTGAAGGGAGTGGTCATGTTAGGGCCACATCTCTCTGACCTTATTCCTAACAGGTTTTCAAGCCCTGTTCTTCTGACCACTGAACCGTGGCTTCTTCATGGGTCAAAACTGCTTAATGTTTTCCCCAGCGAGATCTCTTGACTACACTTGTCTGAAACCAAACAAATTAGTGCTTCTAGAAAAGTACCTACTGAAGTGTAATCCTTCTCAGTTAAAGTATCTTGATCTTCTCATTGATGCGTGCAATTTCAGAGCCACTTGTGTAGCTGTGACTTGGATATGCCTGTAGTTGGATGGCTGATCAGCTGAGCTGTATTTCTGGAAGCTAATGTGTAACACTGGTACACCTACACTGCAGTGACTGATCCTGTTGTTTGTCTTGTAGTGGGACACGGCAGGACAGGAGAGGTTTCGAACTATCACTTCCAGTTACTATAGAGGCGCTCATGGCATCATAGTTGTGTATGATGTTACAGATCAGGTAAGTGTTAAAGCTCTCTGTGGAGAGTTTTTCCAGGTGGAATATGCTAGGTGGATAATTAAATAAAAACTGGGAATTTAATCGCTTGGCACTTTGTAAGGAGACAGTGACCATGTTCTTCAGGCTGCGCTAAGGTCTATCAAGCAGAATGTATGTTTAGTGTCTGGTTTGGGACTAAACACAAATAAAAGGAGCAGTGGGATCTGTGGCTCGTGCCTTGGGCTTAACCTAAAACTTGTTGGGCAGATAATGGATTGTTCTCTGTGAATACTTCTCATCTTGCCTTTGGTAGCAGGAAGTCTGAGTTACTGGTGGAAGCTGTTGAAAGATTTCTGAATGTAGTTGAACTTTGGTCTACAATAAAAAAACCTGGCAGAAACAGAAAACGGTCAGAATGTGCGCAGGATACAACTGAGCCAGTGTTTTTTGTGGAAGAATCTGTGAAGATTACTGTTGCAGTTTTTCTGTTTAAAGGGCTCTTAGGAAGTGTAGAGTTTCCTGAATTAATAGAAAAAGAACAGTTGGATTCAGTTGCTAACTTTGAGTATCAGTTCTGCATGCCAGTTCTGAAGTCGGAGGCTGTTCCAGCATCTCTACAACAATGTGGTTTGCACCTAATACCTAGTGCTTGGTAAATGCTTGGGATTCTTCTGGTTTCAGCTGTGTGCTGTGTCTTTTATCTCTGCTACAGGAGGAGGAAGAAGAGTCCCAGATGGCAGAAGTTGTTGACTATTCAAGATATGGAGCAGGGAAAAAATAATGGGGGGGAGTGCAGCAAGGGAGGACGGGCTGATTGTGTAGGGCTGGGAGCATGGGCTGAGGAGCTGTATAGACCCTGTGACTTGCCTGTCCTGAGGCCATTGGGGGAGTACTGTAGCATTAAAGTACAGAGTTCTCCCTTGTGGCTGTGGATCATGTTGATGAGTTAAGCACACTGCTTCATATTCTTTCCTAGTCATTACTGAACCATGCTGAACTGTCCTCGTGGTTAAGGGTCTTGCTTACAGTTCTCTTATCTCCTAGGAGTCTTTCAATAATGTAAAACAGTGGCTGCAGGAGATAGACCGTTATGCCAGTGAAAACGTCAACAAGTTGTTGGTGGGGAACAAATGCGATCTGACCACAAAGAAAGTAGTAGACTATACAACAGCGAAGGTATGTTGATACTGATGTGTATTTGCTGTGGCTGGGCACCTAGTCTGGATCCTGATGCACCCGAGTGAGTTTTAGAGCAGGGAAGGGCCATGGTACCCATGTGTCACAGTGCTGTGAGCGTGAGCAGTTTCATGAGCCCTTGCGGTGCAGGTCACCACAGGAGGGGAGTTGGGGAGTGGGGGGGGGTGGTCTAGGAACTCACAGCTTATCCAGAAATGCACCAGAAAACAAGGTGTCAATCAGTGTATGAGCTTACTGTTCACTGTTTCTTGATTTGCAGGAATTTGCAGATTCTCTTGGAATTCCATTTTTGGAAACCAGTGCAAAGAATGCCACAAATGTAGAACAGTCTTTCATGACCATGGCTGCTGAGATTAAAAAACGAATGGGTCCGGGAGCGACGGCTGGTGGTGCAGAGAAGTCCAATGTTAAAATTCAGAGCACTCCAGTCAAGCAGTCTAGTGGAGGTTGCTGCTAAAACTTGCCTCCCCCCTTTTGTCTCACAACAATGAATTTGCAATCTGAACCCAAGTGAAAAAAAAAATTGCCTGAATTGTACTGTATGTAGCTGCACTACAACAGATTCTTACCGTCTCCACAAAGGTCAGAGATTGTAAATGGTCAATACTGACTTTTTTTATTCCCTTGACTCAAGACAGCTAACTTCATTTTCAGAACTGTTTTAAACCTTTGTGTGCTGGTTTATAAACGTGTAATCCTTGTTGCTTTCCCTGATACCAGACTGTTTCCTGTGGTTGGTTAGGATGTATTTTTGTTTTGATGTTTCTATTGGCATGTTTAGATGTCAGGTTTAGTCTTCTGAAGATGAAGTTTAGCCATTTTGTATCAAACAGCACAACAGTGTCTGTCACTTTCCATGCATAAAATTTAGTAAGATATATGTAAGATCTGATTTGCTAGTTCCTCCTTGTAGAATTATAAATGGAAAGATCACACTATCTGATTAATAGTTTCTTCATACTCTGCATATAATTTGTGGCTGCAGAATATTGTAATTTGTTGCACAATATGTAACAAAACTGAAGAAATGTTTAATAAATATTGTACTTATTGGAAGTAATATCAAACTGTATGGTGATAAATATTGTCTTAATTTGTATGGCTAAGGGGGAAATCAGGCTTGCATTGTGCACAAAACATATCTGTGTGCAGCCATGGCGCTCAGACCTTCTGGTAGGCCAGAGACCTTCCCTGCAACTAGAACTAGTGACTGCGGCCTGAAAGACTGAGCTGTCGTGGTGCTTAAGGCACGTATGCTGTACCAGAAACACCCAGCCAATGTTCACGGGGGCATAATGCACTCTGAATGTACAACAGTTCCCTAACTTAGTCTTGGAACTTAATTTATTTCTCAAGGACTTGATTTGGGGACTTCCTGTCCACTTTGTGTAGTCGGGGAGAGAGAGAGAATGGTATTTCCCCAACACAAATTACTTCAACGTAACCTTGAGGTGGTATAACTTTCTACCAGTATATTATGTCTTTTCTATATACTGTTAATTCCATCCTCTTTTAATCAGTGCTCCTCTGATGTAGTGCGACAGCTTAGCTTCTATTCTGTTATGCAGAGAGGCATCAGGAGGAGGACACGGGGACAGCCAGGCCCCACAGCAGACTGTTGCTCACAGTAGGCGCTCTTTCCAACCATTTGGAACTAACCAGCAGCCAAGAGGTTTTGGACAGTGTGTGATTCTTTGTACAGAGCTAATCAAATCATTAGTGCCTGATGTCTAGCTAAAAGCCACAGGAAAGCTAGCCTATAACACTTCCTATACATGTAAAATTGTTCAGCTTTATCTAAACTCCAATGTTCAGCCTCTTCTGTAAATAGTCTCATGTTTGAAAGACCATGTAACATTCCCCAAGTAGTAAATACACCCTGTGATAGTACAAATATAGCCTAGGTATGTTGTGAGGTATAAACTAAAACTGGTGCAAATATCCTCAGACTTTTTTTTTTGGGGGGGGTGACTTTGGCTAACAGCTTTCTTCAACATAGTTGCATCAATCAACAGGCAATTGTAATACATAAACTATTGTCATGGTTAAGTTGAACTCTTCCACTTGAGACCTTCACAATAAAGTGATGTGCTTTCTATTAGAGATGTGCTTGTTGGTATAATTCATTATACGATGTGACTCGCTCCTCAGGAGCGGTAGGAGTAGGGAGTGCTGCGGAGATCAGGAACCGAAGCAGAAGGAGGTGTATTGAGGGTAAAACATCTTCCCTTCAGAGAAGTGCACAAATGAACTTAAATGTCAAGATGCCTGCTACATACTATCCAAAAAAAAAAAAAGTATGTTAATATATACAGTAATAAAAGCATTGCAAAACCAACTTGGGCTACACCAGGTGTTTGGTGGTTATTATTTTTATTTTTCCCCCCCAAGTCATTCCTGTGCTGGTGCCATTAAATGCTGAAGCCTGGGGATGCCAGGCTGGGTCGGAGGTGTGTGGAGGAGGGCAGAGTAGGCCTCAAAATATCCTGGATGGGGGCACTGCAGTCTCTTACCTGTGCGCAGAAATATTGAACACCTTTGGCTGAAGGGGCCAGGCTGGA